CATCAAGGATCGGTGGCAGATCCATCCGTTCTATTTGAAACTGGGACACTAACTCTCCGAGCATCTCGTTATCCTTCTGTTTTACTTTGAAAAGGTCCGACTTCATGGTCTCGACCTTGATGGTCCCAACATGTGCTATCATAAAAGAATCTGCAAGCATAGCAAATGAGTCGATGGAATTAGGAGGTAAGTTGTGATACCATATCATAGCTCCCTTTGATAGTGTCTCCCCGAACTTATTCAACAGGACAGACTCGATCTCATCATCTTCCAAGTCGTTCCCTTTGATGGCATATGTGTAAGAGGTGACGTGCTCATTTGTGTTGGTTGTTCTGTTATACTTAGAAATCTCGGGCATGCAGATTTTCTTGGGGATTGGCTTTAGAGTCGCACTCGGAGGAAAAGGCATTTGCACGAACTTCTTGGAATCCAGGCCTTTCAATATCGGCGATGCTCCTGGGATTTGGTCTACCCTGAAATTGTAGGTTTTCACCTTTTTGTCATTAGCTTTGATTTTCTTCTCCCCTGATTTTACTCGTTTTGTCAGTTCCTCGAGCATCTTTATGATCTCGGAGTTAGTCACCGATTCGTTTTCATTTGACCTCTCTGTGACCGGTTCATCCCTGCGGATGATTTACCGGGGTGGATCGAGATAGACTCTACTCAGTGTGCGGCTTTGGTTCTGTAACTAAGCTATCATCGCTTGTTGAGCCTGCAACATTTTGAAGATCGTCCTTAAGCTGATCCAGTCTCCACCAACGTTTTGTGTATTATGAGCCGCCGATCGAGCTCCACTACAGACGCTATTCTCGGGGTCAGTAGGCAGGTTTGCGTCGATAGCCACATGTGAATTAGCGTCAATCGGGTCTGTGACCAGAATTACGATGGGGTCAACGGGCGGTACCCCGTCACCGGGTGCTATGTTGTTATTTTTACCGTGATGATCGGACTCGTTGTCAACATGTAAGGGTGCTGATTGAGAGTTCGACATTTTGAGTTTTAACTTGAAGTTAGAGACACCTCAAAGAACAAGTGTAAAGTAGTATGTGTTATGGAGATTCGTATCAAATAATCACTATTATCCTTAGCCCCACAGTGGACGCCAAACTGTTTACCCTCAAAATCGGATAACAATTAAATTTATAAGTGGTTTTGAGGATACGTGGACTAACTTGATACAAAATGATAAATTAGATCGCAATTGAAATAAATAATGACAAAGTAAATGCAAATCACACGAAATGAATAGTATTAGCCTTGGAAGGTTAGCCACCCTCGAGCCAGGCACCCCTTAATCAGTGTCAGGATACAGAAGAACAAGAGCTTAAAGAGAAATAATAACAATGTATTGCTTTGGGATGCGTGTTACAATATTTTGAATGAATTATCAGACCCCCCTTTATATATTAGAGTTGTCCTACTTTAGGTACAATTCTATTAAAAGTAAAAAAATCCCTTGGTTAGCTGATTGCCGGTTCCTTACTGATACGCGCCGAGATTCCTACCGTAATACCCGACCGGTCACGGATATTTTAGTTTTCTGTTGGTTATGCTAATAATATTTCTTCGAGCTCGATCAGGGCTAAGGTTGACTCCGGGATTACGGACTCAATGTTCTCGAAGACAAGCATTCTAACCCTGGGGTCTAGCTTGGTGGGACTCGGGATCGATCTTTAGTCTTTGGTTGTCATATTCCGAGCCTAATTTGCCATGTCATAGGCGAGCTCGATTACGACCGTATGCATTATTATAATACATAATCTACAACCCAAATTCGCTAAACAATCTATGTAAGTAGAACTTATTTTACTTCAGTAGAATATATTGATATCTCTCAGTATTTTAATTAATTTTCCTGTTCTTTAGCTGTGTCACTGAACGTTTGATTTCTCTTTCATTTATATACTCGCAGTCAATTACTTTACATGATTTAAACATATATTTCAATTGAAATGGTTAAAAGGCTAATTAAATCTGTCTCTCTTCCATATTCGTGGTGTATGTGTTGGAATATTATCTTTGGCTTCTAATCCATCTGTACCAATTGGTACAGCTAAAAACACAACAAAGACAAACCCAACTCTTTTATTCTTTCCCTAAATTTTTTATTGAAGTCTATCCATCCAACCAAGTTTTACTTATAAATGTGCATAGGGGTGTACTGAATGAGCTTTTGATTTGTGCAATGCCGTTTGAAGGTTCGACAGAGTGGGTGAGAGAGAGATTTGGGTAAAATATTTTGAGGCGGGTTGACGAAGGAAAACGGGTCCGATTTGGGTGGATTTAACTAAATTGGGTTAAATTAAAATTGGGGATGGGTTATTTCGTTCAAAGGCTGCCACGTGGATAACCGTTTAAATTAGGGACAAATCAGACCCGTAGTATAATGATTGTGGCACAATTGACCGAAAAGTATAACGGAAGGCATAGATAAATAATATTTAAAAGTTCAGGGATATTTGTGACCTTTAAAATTTAATTGAGTTGCATGTGTTACAAAATAATAGACTGGTTATGCCACATCTCAGAATTAATGCAAACGAAATTTGGAAAGAAACCCTTTTAAGAGTCTACGGAGGCGGCTTGGTTTCATTAATTGCACCTCTATTCCAAAGAAGATACAATAATTGTTTAAAACAAAGCAATCAAAGGAATAATGAAAGGCTACTGCTCCAAGGGAGAAAAATAGAGACAGAATTAATTGCATTCTTCCTCCCACCAGCTTTGCTAAATAATTGTGTTTTTAAAGCTTTCGACCTGACCATAAAAGTTTTCTAATGACACTATTCCAATAACTCAAGACCAGAACCAACTTAAATTACATTGTAATTTTACGGATGATTATTCAACTTTTACTTTGTTACATCGAAGTCACTAAATTTTTGAAACTTTGCTACTTTCTTCCTCCTTTATTCGAGGTAGAAGAAGACAGTGCAATAGTTGACTTATTAGACAGCTTTACTCATATCACGAGAGCTTAAAGGAGCTTTGTCTAATTCCATGATCTTAATCTGTCCATATGTCCTTGTATTTGATTTTCAAGAAAGGAATTCTTTTTATTTCAGAGGCGGATCCAGAATTTTAATTTTATGGATTCAGGATTATATTAGAGCCTATTTTAGTAATACAGTTAGAGTCTGCAGTACCATTTGAAAAGTCTCATTTTAAGGCTTTTCACTTTGAAATTCCTTATCCCATTTTTCAAGTTTTTGCTTCTGGAGCCACTCCTTTTCTGAGCCTGCAAGTTCAAGTGAGCGTTACTGCAGTTCAAGAATGACAAAAAAGGGTTGTGATAAGCTGCAATGGATTGAAGTGAACGTCAAATAATTAATGCTGTGACTATTGCAACTTTTGCAGCTTCTTTAGGCTTTGTCTGAAGTGAATGTCTTCATTCGAAATGAATAGACTTCAGCAAGCTATGTTGCTAAGATTCTCCGAAAATGTCACGAGGTCCATGTCAGATCCTTCAAAAGTAATGCATTTTTGAAGGATCTGATACGGGTGCGGCAACATTTTGGAGAGTACGCGCAACATAGCCAGCCAACAAGTCGATACTTACGGTCTAATAGTTTGAAGATCTCCTATCCAACCAAGATTATTGAACATGTTTCGATTGCCATTTAGCTCAAATGACAAAATGAATGAATATTTCCTTTTTAAGTACACGTCTCTAATACATTTATATAGTCACTCCGGAAACCCTGTTACATATATTAGTATCTACATATAGGTTAATTGGAAGCCACTGAAACAACCTTAATACTTTAAAAGCTAATAAATCTACAGAAAAGAGCTAAAACTACCCCTAACCTATTCGCTTAGGTTTAAAAATATCCTTCGTCCACCTATTTTGTAAAAATTGCCCCTAACATCAACTTTTCGGCCCACTCATACCCTAGAAACTAACGACCCCATTTTGATTAAGATAATTTTTTTATTACTTATTATGTGTCAATTTCCTAATGGCTTAAATTAAAACCTCATTCCACATCCTATTAGCCCGCTCCATAACCCAAAATATCCATACTCGACCCATGACCGGCTTTTTAAAATGCCTTAACTTCACCTCTCATCTTCTCCTCTTTCATCCCTACCCTCCCACTCTATATTTTCTCTAATCATCCTCCTCCATGGCCAAAGTACAATAACTCGCCATTGGTAACTGAGGACTACCGTCGGCTTCAACTTTAAGATCTTCACCCTTCAACACCCACGGATCTTCCTCTCCCACTCAGATTTTTCGGCCTTAATTTAATTTTTAAATTAATATTTTTTTGTTAAATCAATTTTTTGAGTGAAATCTGGTATTCTTTGGAATTAAATTAATGGTTCATTTAAAGATTTTATGGTTTAATAAGTTATGTTTCCGCCAAAGTTATATTTTTTGTACCACCATGTAGCTTTTTTGGAGTTCGACGGCGGTGATTTGGTTAGGAAACTGTTGGCGGAGATTAAGTTGGGAAAGAAAAACAGGGAAAGGGATAAGGTACCAAATAATAAATTAATAAAAAGAAAAATATGAAATTTTGATATATGAAACCAAAATAACGATTGGATCATGAGTCCGGTATGGAATCGGGTGTTTGAGGGGCTAAAAAGGGATTAACGAGTTGGAACGACTAAGATGGATTGCGAGTGGCTTATTTACGGATCAGTTCTGGGTTAGAGTGAGATTTTTAATTTTGACCAATAAGCAATTGCCACATCATATATAACCAAAAAAATTTTATTCAGCAAAGGTCCGTCAGAAATAAGGGCATGAATGAGCCAAATTTTTAACGATGAAGACAGTTTTTACAAAATAGGTGGACAGATGGTATTTTTAAACCCAAACGAATAGGTTAGGGGCAGTTTTGGCCCTTTTTTGATAAATCTAATATCACTCCAGTAATGACAAAGCTAGAATCTACATATATCTGTCTTTATTTTCAACATATAGATTCCTTACACATCATTGTCACAAATCTTGCTTAAATGGAATCTCAGAGTTAAATAGAGATAGATTTCACTCAATTATCAGATCATAACTAAACTACCTAAAGATGGATTTAGGAGGAATTATCTTAATCTTCCTTTTCAGTACCCTCTGCCTCTATCTCCTTTGGACAATCATTAAACTCCTTTATTTAATATGGTGGATGCCACTTCAAATACAAAATAGAATGAGTTTTCAGGGAATCAAAGGCCCCCCTTATAGCTTTCCCCATGGGAATACCAAAGAAATCTCACTAATGAGAAGCCAAACTATGGACAAACCTATGATGGATATTTCTCATTACATTTTCCCAAGAATTCAGCCTCATGTTTACTCTTGGACAAGGATGTATGGTAAGTAAACTAGGTTAAATTTGATGCACAAGTGTGAATATTTGTTACGGTAGCACTGTAGTTTAACCCGTGATAGCAGATAAGTTACCACTTTTATCAGTTTACCTCTAATTACCTTATAAGTGACCTGATAGTGTAAATAGCGCATAGAATTTAAATTTATCTCTTAATTGTTCGTTGCGTTTGCTTTGTTTGGTGACAGGGAGGAATTTCCTCACTTGGCATGGCTCAAAACCATACTTATTTGTTACTGAACCGGAGCTTATCAAAGAAATATTGGCCAACAAAGAAGACTCTTACCCAAAAATGGACATGGAAGGCTATGCTAAAAAACTACTAGGGAAAGCACTTATAACCAATGAAGGTGAAAAATGGGCAAAAGTAAGAAAACTAGCCAACCACACTTTCCACGCCGAAAGCCTGAAAGTAAGCCTTACAATATCAGTATTTCGTCTTAAAAATGTTAAAGTAATGATCTTAGTATGAATGGATGAAATTATGTACAGCGTATGGTGCCAGAAATGAGTGCAAGTGTTCAAACAATGCTAGAGAAATGGAAAGAACACGAAGGAAAAGATTTCGACGTGTTCAAGGATTTTGGACTGTTAACAACTGAAGTAATTTCCAGGACAGCATTTGGAAGCAGCTATATGGAAGGAAAACATATTTTCGAGATGGTGGCAAAATTAACTGCAATAACTGTCAAAAATATTTACAATGTCAGATTTCCTGGAATCAGGTAATCAGCATTATAGGAAACAATAGATTATACTAATTGATGGAATTTACTCAGGTCGTTGCTCCTTATTCATGATTATTGGTTTCTTGGATTTTGCAGTATGCTAATAAGAACAGATGATGAAATTGAAGCAGAGAAACTTGAAAGAGGAATCAAGAGCTCCATTCTTGAGCTAGTAAGGAAAAGAGAAAAGGTAAAAGATGGAATGTTTGAGAATTTTGGGACTGATTACCTAGGACAACTTATGAAGCTTTTGCACGAACCGGACACGAACAAAAGTATCACAATAGATCAAATGATCGACGAGGTCAAGGCATTGTATGGTGCAGGACATCTTACAACTACGAGCTTACTTGGCTGGTCTGTTTTTCTCTTAGCACATCATCCAGAATGGCAAGAAAAAGCCAGAAAGGAAGTGTTCGAATTTTGTGGCCTTAGAACTCCAACTTCTGATGCAATCACAAGGCTAAGAACAGTAAGCAACACTCATATTAAATTGTGCGATCATTTCATTTAAAAGTTTAAGCTGTTAGAGAGACTACTCTTTTATTTACTTAATTATATTTTCGACACACTCCTTAACATGTGGGGCCAGTTTTTTGTCGTGGCCAAGCGGATGAAATTCTTTTAGATAATGGATGGCCATGGGACTTGAACATAAGATCTTTACCTGCTCTGATACTGTATTGAATTGTGTGACCATCTCATCTAAACGTTTAAGCCATTAGAGAGAACACATTAATATTTACTTAATTATATCTTCGCCACACACCCACATGCTGACCTGATATTTTTTCATAGGCCAAGCACATGAAAATTCTTTTTGATAATGGGAGGCGATGCCTGCTGTGATACTGAATTGAGTTATATAACCATCTTCTAAAGTTTTAGCTATTAAAGAGAGCACACTTTTATTTACTTAATTATATTTTCAATAGTTTCCTATTTGGTTTCTTGCAGATGAACATGATACTTAATGAATGTATGAGATTGTATCCTCCGGTTATTACAATGACAAGAAAAGTTGAAAGAGAAGTTAGACTAGGGAGCATGACTCTTCCTGCTAACATGACAATTTTCATGCCAATTTTGGCACTGCACCATGATCCACATATCTGGGGCAAAGATGTTCATATTTTCAAACCCGAGAGGTTCGCAGAAGGGGTGGCTAAAGCAACAAACAACAACGCAGCATCGTTTTTCCCGTTCGGATTGGGACCTCGTACTTGTGTTGGTCTGAATTTCACAACAAATGAAGCAAAAATTGCCTTGTCAATGATTTTGCAGCGTTATAAGTTCACTCTGTCGCCTAATTATGTCCATTATCCTTCTGATATTTTCATTTTGACTCCCAAGGTTGGAGTTAAAGTTGTCCTTGAATCTATTTAGGGTATATCAATGTCCCTAAACAATGTACATAAATAAAAGTTTTGCAAACAAAGCTTCTGAATTCACGAGTTTCCAGTATTTTCGACGCGAATCATAAATTTACGTATAGAATTCACTAAAACTATAACAAATGGTAGGTCTAAGCTCATAATTTTAAAAATGCAATGAGCTTAATACTAAGAACCTTAAAAGTTGAACCAATATAATTTAAATCCTAGATTCGCAATAAATATTAGTGATTGCTTTTATAAGTCAAGATATCACTACATTCAGACACAACTATATAAAGGCAAGACTGTTTAGAGAAGCTAATGATTTGAATGCCAATAGGAGAAGGACTGCATGTTACTGCATAAATACCAATATTAACAAATTGTGTACCATTATTGATTTCATAATATCTTAGGTAGGACCATAATGTACTTGAATAAGCACCCAATATTAACAGGTATAGTACCATTCTTGGATTCATATTATCATAGCTTTTCTTATAACCTTTGTAATAAAATACAGATAAAGATAAAGAATATTAAAGCAAAGCGATCTTATAATTATGTAATCCTCACATACCATCAGCAATTTTTAAGATATGAAAATTAGATGGTGTAATATTATAAGAGAAAAAAAGTACGCATGGCGTTGCGTCAAATTTCCGAGGACATGACCCTTGATAGGAAGGTGTGGAGATCGAGCATTAGGGTTGTAGGTTAGGACGTAATCGAGTCCGGAGGTGAGGCTAGTTTGATAAAGTTGGCTTTAGACGGCTAGTGGTTAATGTTGTATTCACACTATCCTTCCGTTGTTCATAGCATCGCGGCTTATTTTCTGGTTTTGTTATTGCATTTCAATTATTTTCTAGTTCTTATGATGATGTTATTATTTATTTGGTTTCTGTTTGATGGTACTAATATATTGTCCCTTTCTTTTTCTTCTTGTCTTTTCCGTCTTCTTGAGCCGAGGGTCTTTCGGAAATAACCTCTCTACACCTTCGGGGTAGGGGTAAGGTCTGCATACACACTACCCTCCCCGGACCCACTTGTGAGATTTTACTGGGTCGTTATTGTTGTTGTTGTTGTATTAGTGATTGTCTATCATGATGTCTCCCTCACACAGTCATCAGCAATTTTTTGGATCGTATTCTAATGAAAAAAGGTACACACAATAATCATGTGGTCCAAGCTATGTTGTCCTGATTATGAACTCCCTCTTTACAATAATATTACAAATCTTGATTGTAATAAGAGTTGGCCCTTCAATCTTTTCCCCTTTTGTTCGTTTGTTTGTTCGTTTATTATTATAACTGGAATGAAGTTTAGCTTGTAGTTTTTTCAGGATGCTTTTAAGTCTGAAGATTATTTAGCTTTAGCACCAAGGTAACTGATGTATATCTCAATTATAAAGCACTAGCGCGTTAAAAAAAAAAAAAAAAAAAAAAAAAACCTGCACACAAAGTATTGCGCATTCACGTAGGGGTTAGAGAAGGGGCGCACCCCATGGGGACGTGATATAGGAAGCCTACCTGATGCAAGTATCGGTAGCTTGTAATTACAGGAAATCTCCAAAGTTTTGGCCTTCTACTTTCAGGCTTGATTGAGAGGACATGCTCAAGTTTTTATTTTTATTTTGCACCAAACTTACACTTCAAATGGCCCAAGGAATCATCAAAAACACATATAGCGACTTAACGATAAATAATCATATACTATAGTACATAAAATAATCTTGAAAATCTATTTAAGTTAAAATAATATTGTGCATGTACTGAGAAAAAGAGAGATCATTATATCTAATTGTCTTGAGACTTCTCACTTTCAACCTCTTTTTTATATATGGAATTATTGTACTGCATTTTGGCATGAATTAATGCATTGTTGTCATTGCTGACACCTAAATTTCCATGGACCACACCATCTATTCATCTCAAATCTTTGTCAACAGCAAAACAAGAATATGGTGATGTTAGATATTACAATAGCTAACGTACGATTCAGAGATTTAATCCAAATTTGAAATGCTATTGATAAAGCCAAAGCCAGTATCTGAATTTATTTGTCTTCTAATTCAAGCTAATATTCTCAACCTTAGTAGAGTACACTAGAAAACCAAAAATTCTCAAGTCCATTATTCGATATCTGTATTCAGAAAAATCGCAAACACCATTCATCATATGATGATAATCATTCTCTCGAGTTTTCTTTTCATTTCTTTGTTAATTATCCTGTTTTGGATCTTTAAGAAGCTATGGTGGAGTCCGATTCGCGTACAATTTCTGATGAGATCACAAGGAATCCAAGGTCCTCCTTACAAGTTCCTATATGGAAATACCAAAGAGATTGTGGAAATGAAAAAAGACTCAATTAGCAAATCCATGGATTACTTGTCACATGACATATTTCCAAGAATTCTACCTCATGTATTTTCTTGGAAAAATCTCTATGGTAATATAAATGTTACATAATTTCATTTCAATGTACTTTTTACATGGTTATATAAACTACTGATTATATTTTTCTGTTTCTATTGTCACCTAATAGGAGAAAGTTTTCTCTATTGGTATGGACTGCAACCTGAACTAGTAGTTACTGAACCAGAACTTCTCAAAGAAATACTGAGTAATAGAAACAACAACTTTCCCAAAATAGATCTTGAGGGCTATTCCAAGAAGCTTTTAGGAGATGGGGTTTCGTCATCTAAAGGCGAAAAATGGACAAAAATGAGGAAACTAGCCAACCATGTTTTTCATGGAGAAAGCCTAAAAGTAAATTTCTTGTGCAATTCTTGAAATATATTACATGCCAAGTTCTCTGTTTCAACTAGTGCTAATTTTGTTAATGATGTTTGTAAATGCAGAGTATGGTTCCAATGATGATTATGAGTTGTGAGACAATGCTGGAAAAGTGGAAAATATATGAAGAAAAAGAAATTGAAGTGTTTGAAGAATTTAGGATATTAACATCAGAAATAATTTCCAGGACTGCATTTGGAAGTAGTTACTTAGAAGGAAAGAATATATTTCAGATGCTGATGAAGTTAGCTTTGCTAGTTTCCAAAGATGCTCTCAAAATTAAATTTCCTGGCATCAGGTAAGTACCTTCACAAGATCTACATAGAGTTAACTCTGTTTCTTGAATCAAAACTGAAGAATAATTTAAAAAGCTCAAATTAAGAGTAGAGATGAGTTAATTTCATGGATGTTTATTCAGCTTTTAATTTAATACACAAAGTTATAAAACTAATTTTTATAACAGAAAAATAAATTAACTTTACCTATATATCTTAGAAAAAATAATAAAGGCCAAAACAAAAAATGCCAAATAGAGCCATGGAAATACAATAAGTAGGCTTCGACTTCAGCAACTTCCCTTGCATAATATTATGGATATTATGTAAGGTGAGTTGCTGATATGATTGTAAATAGTAATTAAAATTCAATACATGTGGCATCCTGCTTGTTTTCTCCTACACCAGATCTAACATTTTTCGGTTTTGTATTTTCTATGATATATAGGCATAGTTGAGTTATCTTTTTAATTACAAAAATTAGTTTTATGTCTTTAGTACAATAAAATGAAAGTTGGATGACCATGGAAGAATTTAACTCATTAATCAACTTAATTGTTACATTTTTGTGTAGTCAAATTTGGAAAAGCAGAGATGAAATAGAGTCAGAAAAACTGGAGCAGGGCATTCGCGACAGCATTACTCGAATAATAAAGAAAAGAGAAGAGGAAAAGATTGGGGAAGAACATAATTTCGGAAGTGATTTCCTTGGAAAACTTTTAGAGGCTTATCAAGAAGATTACAGAATATCAGTAGAAGAAATAGTTGATGAATGCAAGACAATTTATTTAGCTGGTCACGAAACAACAACTTCTTTACTTGGATGGACAATCCTCTTGTTAGCTACAAACAAGAATTGGCAAGAAAAAGCAAGAAAAGAAGTTCTTGAATCATTTGGCCAAAAAGTTCCTACTGCAGATGGCCTATCAAGACTGAAAATAGTAAGCATTGAGGATTTTAATTATTTTTCCTGAATATTGCATGCATATATCGAAGGGATCAGCCTTGACGTAATTCGTAAAGTTGTTGTCATGTGACCAAGAGGTAACGGGGTTCGAGCCGTTGAAACATCATCTTGCAGAAATGCAAGGTAAGGATGCATACAATAGACCCTTGTGGTCCGGCCCTTCCCTGTAACCCGCATATAGTGAGAGCTTAGTGCACCAGACTGTCCTTTTATTGCATTCATATATCAAAAGTCGCATGTTGGTCATTCCTAACTTATGATTTTTCGGCTTATAAATATTTTGTTTGACCAAGAGTTTTACTATTCTATTCCTAACATCTTTTATAATGAAACCTTTTATTTTATATGTTTATAATTAATTAAAAGGCAACTTAGTCATTTTAACCCAAAAAAATAGCTTAACTATCAGCACTTATAACCTGATACATCAACATTTAAAAGCATTTTTCTATCGCTTAATATTTCTCAATTATTTTTATGCTAAATAGTCTCCAAGTGCAGCCCGGTGCACAAAACATCTCGCGTTCACGCAGGGTCCAGGGACGGGTCGCACCCCAAGAGAATGTAATGTAGGCAGCCCTATCCTGATGCAAGCATCAATAGCTGATTCCACGGCTTGAACCCGTGACCTATAGGTCAAACGGAGACAACTTAACTGTTGCTCCAAGACTCTAACCAGTATTTTTACTTGTTTTTTATCATTGTAGATGAACATGATTGTTGAAGAATCTCTAAGATTGTACCCACCAGTACCATTCATCAAAAGGAAAGCTAACAAGAAAGTAGAGCTAGGGAAGCTAACTTTACCACCTCAAATGCAACTTTACATATCACCATTAGCAGTTCAACATGATCCTAAAATATGGGGAGAAGATGTACATATTTTCAAACCAGAAAGATTTGCTGAAGGAGTTGTTAAAGCTACAAACAACAATCCAGTTGCATTCTTGCCATTTGGTTATGGACCTCGAACTTGTTTAGGATTGAACTTTGCCATGATTGAAGCAAAAGTTACTCTTTCGATGATTCTACAGCGTTATATGTTTACAGTTTCACCAAGTTATGTTCACTCTCCCGTTCAGCTTTTTATGCTTCGCCCTAAGCATGGAGTCAAAATCATTCTGCACAAGATTTAAGGGTCTCTTTCTGTATGTAAATATAAAACAGGAACTTGATTATATATTCTGATGTTTCCGCTTTTGTATTGATCCTAGGTTTGATGGACGGCTAGCTATAATTATTATTTAAATGATTAAATATTATTTTTATACGATAATTAAGCCAGCAAATAAAAATCTGAATGTATTATTTGACATGTTTAATGTGTTTACCCTTTATTGCTCCCTTGTGTAGTTGCATACTGACTATTATGTCAAATTTGTAGAACCCTTTTTATAAATGGTATATTTAAGTATGTCTTAGTTCATTGAGTCGAAATTCAAAATATTCCAAAAGAAAAAAAACGGAAGCACTAGTAATTACTCCCCCCGTCTTATATTAAGAGTCTTGGTTACTAGAAATAGTTGTCTCAAATTATTTACTATCATTTTAAAAGTTCAAGGAAATTTATTATTTTTATTCCTTTTTTACCCGTTAGTAATAATTGTTCTTGAAGATGGAGATAACACATAAATAGAATAAATATTGAATAAAGAGAAATTATATCTTATAGCATAAATAAAAGTAGAATAGTCCAATTCATTTTCTAATTAATATTTCTTAAGAGCGTGTAAAGGAAAAACACGACACAATAATATGACACAGAGGGAGCAAGAGAGTTAGTTGCCTTGTAAGTGGGATCTGTGCATCTTAACCCAACGAAACACACATAGACAGACACAGATCAGTCAGTCAACGTAACAGGAAGCATAACAAATACAAAATCGGAAAAAGTTGAAGTAAATCAAAACAGAAAACATGATAGGAAATGCAAAGAATTAAGACGACACTTATAAGATGAAGTTCATTGCAGGAAAATATAGACCAAAACGATGTCCTAATAACAGCACATAGTGATTGCCAAGTATTCAAATACGAAACAAGACGGTCATGACAGGCAAGCAACCAACTTAAAGTAAACACAAACTATGAAATTAAAACAACACTCTATTTTAATTTCCATAACAATCTTATTTAGCTTTCATTTGAATGGTAACTTAATCACGGACGGAGGTTGCGGAAATAGCCAGGAGCATCTTTCTTGAAAAGTTTTACAAAAAACTTGATTTCTTCCACTCAAATCCGAAATAATTGATGAATATAACCATGAATTTTTGAAATATAATCACTTTTGTATATAAGACACTTACCCAAGTTGAAGTCGTGAAAAATCTCTTTGGAATAGCCCAAATCCGAGATTTAAAACTCAAAAATGAGTAAAAATGGCTAATTCACGTTTTTAAGTATTCTGCCCAGGCAAGTCGCATGTGTGAAATGCGACTTTGCCTGATTTTCAGGCAAATATAAACTGCTACCAGCCTTCATTCAGTCGACCATAACATTCTGTAAAATTGTCCAAATAATGAATAGTTTAACTTTCTGGATCATAGAATCAAAGGGCTACAACTTTCATGTTTTGAAAATATTCAGATTCCTTATAGATTTCGAGATATAAGCTTCCAAGATCGGCTTCACGCATCAACAATTTCTGGCGAAACTGCTTTACCAGCCTTCTTTCAGTCGATCATAACTTTCTGTACAATCGCCTAAATGATGAATGGTTTAACTTTCTGGAAATTATATTCAAGGAGCTACAACTTTCTTGTTTCAAATATTTTTAGATTCCTTATAGATTTCGAGATATAAGCTTCCAAAGTTAGATCTGCGATTGCACAGTTGCTGTCCAAAAACAGCTTCTACAGCAGAAACATTCCAGCAACTCCTTTTGTCCGGAATCCATTCCGTTAGCCTTCCGAAATCCATCTGAGGCCCTTGGGACCTTAACCAAATATACCAACATGTCCCAAAATACAATACGAACTTAGTTGAGGCTTCAAACCATACCAAACAACGTCGAAATTACGAATCGCGTATCGAATCGAATTATGAGTTTTCAAATCTTCCAACTTCTATATTTTGCGCCGAAACGTATCAAATAAATTCCAATTAACCTCAAATTTTGCATACAAGTCATAAATGACATAATGGATCTATGAAAATTTTCAGAACTGAATTCCGACTCCGATATCTAAAAGTCAACTCCCCGGTCAAACTTCTCAAAAATTCAACTTTCGCCATTTCAAGCCTAATTCTTCTACCGACCACCAAATAATTTTTCGGATATGCTACTAAGTCCAAAATTACCATACGGAGCTATTAGAATCATCAAAACTCAGATCTGAGGTCGTTTACATATAAGTCCACATCCGGTCAACTTTTCTAATTTAAATTTTTTTATTTATGAGACTAGTGTCTCGTTTTACTCCGAATTCCTTCCGGACCTGAACTAACTAACTCGGTAAGTTATAAAATAACTGTAAAGCATAAATTGAGCAGTAAATGAGGGAACGGGGTTATAATACTCAAAACGACCGGCCGGGTCATTACATTCTCCCCCTCTTAAATAAATATTTGTCCTCGAACGGGTTTAGAATCATACCTGGAATCTCAAATAGGTGTGCATATTTGCTCCGTATCTCCTGCTCAATCTCCCAAGTAGCTTCTCCTACTGACTGGCCTCTCCACTGTACCTTCATTGATACTATGCTCTTTGACCTCGGCTTTCGAACCTATCGGTCTAAAATAGCCACCGGCTCCACATCATAAGTCAAATTACCGTCTAGCTGTACTGTACTGAAATCTAGAATATGAGATGGATCCCCGACATACTTTCGGAGCATGGATACAAGGAACACTGGATGAACACCTGATAGACTAGGTGGCAAAACAAGTTCATAAGCCATCTCTCCAATCTTCTTACGTATCTCAAAAGGCCCAATGTACCGAGGGCTCAACTTGCCCTTTTTCCCGAACCTCAACACACCCTCCATGGGTGAAATCTTGAGCAGAACCTTCTCCCCATCCATGTAAACAACATCACGAACCTTTCTGTCGACATAACTCTTCTGTCTAGACTACGCCGTGCGAAGCTGTTCCTGAATCACTTTGACCTTCTCTAAAGCATCCTGAACCAAGTCAGTACCCAATATCCTAGTCTCACCCAGCTTAAACCAACCCAATGGAGACCAGCACCGTTTCCCATACAAAGCCTCATACGGAGCCATTTGATTACTCAACTGGTAGTTGTTATTGTAAGCAAACTCCACGAGTGGTAGAAATTGATCCCAAGAACCCCCAAAATCAATGACACAAGCGCGTAGCATATCCTCCAATATCTGAATAGTGCGCTCGGACTGTCCATCCGTCAGAGGGTGAAATGTTGTACTTAACTGAACCTGTGTGCCCAATTCTCGCTGCATTGTTTTCCAAAACTGTGATGTAAACCGCGTGCCCCGATCTGGAAGGATGGACACTAGCACACCGTGTAGGCGAACAATCTCACGGATATAAATCTCCGCCAATAGCTCTGAATAATAATTGGTACCAACTAGAATAAAATGCGCGGACTTAGTCAACTGATCTACAATCACCCAAACCGCATCAAACTTCCTCAAAGTCCGTGGAAGCCCAACTACGAAGTCCATGGTAATACGCTCCCATTTCCACTCCGGAATTTCAAGTCTCTGAAGTAATCATCCCAGTCTCTGATGCTCGTACTTTACCTGTTGATAATTGAAACACTGAGCTATAAACCCACTATATCTTTCTTCATTCGCCTCCACTAATAGTGCTGCCTCAAATCCTGATACATCTTTGCGGCACCTGGATGAATGGAGTACCGCGAACTGTGAGCTTCCTGGAGAATCAACTCACACAAACCATCTACATTAGGCACACATAGCCTCCCCTGCATCCGAAATGCACCGTCATCTCCATAGTGACTTTCTTGGCATCACCGTGATGAACCGTTTCTTTAAGGACGAGTAGATGGGGATCATCATACTAGCGCTCTGTGATGCGATCATATAAAGAAGACTAAAAAATCACACAAGCCAAAACTCGATTCGGCTCGAAAACATCCAGTCTAACAAACTAGTTGGCCAAGGCCTGAACATCTAAGGCTAAAGGCCTCTCTGCTACTAGTAAGTATGCTAAGCAACACAAACTCTCCACCTTACGACTCAAGGCAGCGGCCACCACATTGGCCTTTCTAGGATGATAGAGAATGTTAATGTCATAATCCTTAAGCAACTCTAACCACCTTTACTGCCGCAAATTAAGATCCTTCTGTTTAAACAAATGTTGTAGACTCCGACGATTGGTATATATACCTCACACTGGACACCATACAAATAATGCTACCAAATTTTAAGGCATGAACAATAGCTACTAACTCAAGATTGTGGACCGTGTAATTCTTCTCATGTACCTTTAACTGTCTGGACTCATGGGCAATCACCTTACTGTCTTGCATAAGCACTGCGCCGAGACCAATACGCGATGCGTCACAATACACAGTATAAGACTCTGAACTTGTAGGCAACACCAATACTGGAGTTCTAGTCAAAGTTGTCTTGATTTTCTGAAAGCTCTCTGCACACTCATCCGACCACCTGAACAAAGCACTTTTCTGGGTCAATTTAGTCATAGGCGATGCAATATACGAGAAACCCTACACGAAGCGACGATAATAACCGGCCAAGCCGAGAAAACACTGAATCTCAGTAACTGAAGATGGCCTGGGCCAGCGCTGAACTGCCTCTAAATTCTTCGGATCCACCTTAATTCCTTTACTAGATACTATATGTCCCAAGAATGCCACCGAACTAAGCCAGAACTCACACTTAGAGAATTTGGCATAAAGTCCTTCCTCTTTCAATCTTTGTAATACAACACCTATGTGTTGTTCATGCTCCTCCTGGCTACGTGAGTATACCAGGATATCATCAATAAATACTACGATAAATGAATCAATATATGGATGGAATACACTATTCATCAAGTGCATAAATGCTGCTGGGGGTTGGTTAGCCCAAAAGACATCACAAGAAATTCATAGTGGCCATAACGAGTTCTGAATGCCGTCATTAGAATATCCAAATCCCAAATTTTCAACTTGTGATACCCAGATCTCAAATCAATTTTGGAGAACACCTTCGCTCCCTGAAGCTGGTCAAATAAGTCATTAATACGCGACAATGGATATTTATTCTTGATTGTAACTTTGTTTAACTTCCTATAATCGATGCACATCCGCATAGTACCATCTTTCATTTTCACAAACAGAACCGGTGCACCCCAAGGTGACACACTA